GCCTGTCCGCGTTGGGGTCGTGGGGGGGTTAGCGGGTGGCTGCCGGCGGCTACGGATGAAGTCTGGGCTCTTGCTCCCAAGGGGATCGCACACCGGCTCTCCCTGTCCCCGCTTTTATACACTACGCTGGGCCCCTCCTCTTCCCCAGGCACCCCTCTATTGGCTGGGTCCCCGAAGGGGGGGCCCCCCGGCCCTGGCACCCCAAGGGAGGGGACGCAGTGTCAGGGTGGGGCCCCAGGGCAAGATGCCCAGATCCACCGCGGGGACGGGGACGGGCTGGCGAGTCACCCTTCTCCTGCCTTTGATTTCCAGCTCCACAGCTCCCTGCATATGGGGCCGTTTGTCTCCACGAGGGTCCAGGTGGGCACCGCACATGTCCCACGTGAGCCCCAGGAAGGGCCGTGCCAGGCTTGGTGCCCCCCAGGTGGTGCAAACCACAACAGGCTGCGAGACTGCGAGGCAGAAGTCTTGAACCTGGGGCTGTCGGGTCCTCCTTCTGAGTGCACCAGCAGGGTGCGAGAAGTATCTCTGTGTCCGCTTCTTGCAGGTCCTGTCAGGCTTTGGTTTCTCCTTGCTCTTTCCTATCTGCTATTTGTTTGCCAGCTTTAGGGTAACACTAAGAGAGCCATGAACAGTGGCTCACATTGAGAGCTCGTGTCTCAAATAACCTGTCAGGAAAGGTCAAGCAAGGCTGGAAGGGAAGTTGTAACACAGGACACACCAATTGCCTGCGAGGTCTTAGCTTGTAGAGGCCCCAAGAGAGGTGGGGAATCATGGAATCATGGAATGCTTTGGGTTGGAAGAGACCTTGCAAGGTCATCTAGTCTAACCCCCCTGCACTGACCAGGGACATCTGCAGCTAGAGCAGGTTGCTCAGAGCCCCAGCCAACCTGACCTTGAGTGTTTCCATGGCTGGGTCATTGACCACTTCTCTGGGTTATACTGGGGTCTGTGCAGGTGCACAAGAGGAGGCAGTGCCTGGCCAATTTGGCAGCTGGAGAAGCAGTGTCCTCCCGAGAGATGGGAGGGGGAGCAGGGTCTCGTGGGGCTGCCCATCTGCTCCTGCTTCCAGCAGATTGAGCTGGAGGGGATGGGGATGGAGCTTGTGGGGCTGGACCCAGGCAACATATTGGAATGCCAGGTGGTCCAGCAGTGTCTTGATGACCACAGAGCAACATGTTTGCACTGGCCAGGGGCTGTGGGTTGCCACTGAGGGCTACACTGGTTCTCCTCTGCCTGCTTCCTTCAGGTGGTGGCTTGGCCAAAGGACGCTAGGGCCAAGTGACACTGTTCCCCAGCCCTCCGTGCTGCACAGTGCAGTGTTTACTGCAGGGCTCCTCTGAAGCCATCAGTGGCTCTGTCTTCTCCCTGATAAGGGAGCGGAAGGAATTCACCACCCATAAAACCCCAAACCCACATCCCTGAGCTGCTCTCAGGTGCTGTGGGGATGTTGCAAGTCTGAAAGTAGGACAGGGGGCTGGTGAGGACCATGGTCCTCTGCATGGCACGGAGAGTGTCCAAGGAATTTCAGTTTGCTTGTGGAAAGTTAGAATGGAATCATAAAATCATAGAATTGGTTTGGTTGGAAGAGCTCTTTAAGATCATCAAGTCCAACCATTAACCTAGCACTGCCAAGCTTACTTAGATGTAGGGGCCAGTGAAATCAGATGTTCTCTCCTTCCTGTGCATGAAATTACCATTCTTGGTATATTTTTTACCATAACAGATAGTTGTGTCTTTTACAATATGAGAATGGTTAAAAAAATAACCAAAAAAATATTTTTTCCTTCCATGAAGGAAGATACAAACAATGGACTTCATCTCACTGCTGCATCTCCCACCACACACTTTTGTACAAAGTTTTGTTCCACTTAATCTGTGAAAGACTTAAAACATGAAGCCCAGGGATGTTACCAGATGCTTCAAAAAAAGCATCAGAATATTTCTGTCTGCATTTTGTGACGTGTTTATTTGGGTTTTGTCTTGAAACCCTAGATTCTCCATCTTAGATGAGCCTCAATTGCATCAGTTCATAGACAAGCCCAAGGCTCATGTTACCCCGTGTGTGTGAGTGTCTCACCCCCCAGCACCCCAGGGGGGCCCCCCAGAGAAGGAGACATCACTTCATGGCCAGTTAGAGACCAGAAGAACCAGAGGAAGTTTCCCTGTCAGCCAGGAGCATCTCCAGGCATGGACACTTGTGGTAGGCTCAGTGGTACTCCTGGGCCAGCGCAAGGGCTACCACACAGACCATCTCCTGCCTGCCTGGGTCCCTCCTCCCAGAGGTCCCAGCCCTGTATGTAACCCTGCTCTATTCTCCCCAAACACACCTATTCACAGCCCCCTTCCCCTCCACCAGCCTTGCCCTCAGCAGGCTCCCAGGCTCAGGTGACCTCAGGGTTCCTCTCCAGGTCTCACTAGCAGCTTGACCTAGTTGGAGATGTCCCTGCTTATTGCAGGGGGGTTAGACTAGATGACCTTTAGAGGTCCCTTTCAACTCAATGCATTCTATGATTCTATGATGGTCAGAGATCTGAGAGACCCTTAAAGCCCACTCCAGAGAACACAAAGAGCACTTGCTCTGGGTATGGACCTTGGGGTTGCCAGTGATGGCAGTAGGGTTGGAGAGGTTCCTGAAGGAAGCAAAGAACCTCTGGGTCCAGCAGCCTGGGGAGAGATGGAGGGGCACAAGCAGACACAGACACGTTGATCCTTCTGTGATTGGAGTGGTTTCTCTGCCCTGGGTGCAGCTGGGCAGATGCCCAAGAGCTGGACCTACCAGGGCCTTGGCACTGCACTCGGCCACATTGACCTTGCCCCAGATGCCAGTGATGAGCTGCTTCTCTTTGGCTGACCAGTGCACCATGGTGTCGGGTGGAATTTTCATGGGGCTTCCTTGAACGATGCCCAGGAAGTGGAGCCCAAGTCTGCCTGGGGAATTTTTATACACCAGCAATGGCTGGTCCTAATCTCAGTTCAAGGAGCCATTGGCTGGGGCTGGGGAGCAAGCTGAGCTGTGCAAGGGAAGACAGCAATTTTGGATGCTGTCCAAGGGGCAAAGAGGCCCTTTTCCCCCACTAAATTTGAGTGAAGAAGCATGATCCCATAGCCATGAGATTGTACTCACAGCCCGGAGTGCAGGGGGAGCTGCCCACAAGGCTCCAACCCAGCTGTGGGTTTCCAGGATTGCATGGTGGAGACCCAAAGAGACAGGCAGTGATATCCAGTTTGCAGTCTCCACCTTGACCATGTTTTCAGATTCTTAATGGCCCACTGGTGCCCTGCTCTCCTGAGATTCTCCTGGAAAGCTCTAGGCATCACCCAGCATCACCCAGCCCAGCTCCATGGACCAGAGGCTTAACTGGGGAACAAGGACTGAGGGACCACACTTAAATCTAGGCCCTGCACTTTAAATGTAAGAGCCTCCTCGCTTGTCTGCCCTCGCAAAGAGCTTCAGAGTTGCTGTCCATCGTCACTGGACGTTGTTGTCATGGAAACACAGAATTGTTTAGTTTGAAAAAAAGACCTTTAAATTCATCGAGTCCAATCATTAACCCATCACTGCCAGGTCCCCACTGACCCGTGTCCCTCAGCACCACATCTCCACAGCTTGGAAACACCTCCAGGGATGGGGACTCCACCACTGCCCTGGGCAGCATGGCACAGCCCTGGACAACCCTCAAGGGCAAGAAATTGTTCCTCAGGGACAACCTCAACCTCCCCTGGAGCAATTCAAAGTCAGTTCCTCTTGTCCTATCACCTGGGACAAGAGATCTCAACCTCAGCTGGCTCCAAGCTCCTGTCAGGGGGCTGTGGAGAGTCAGAAGGTCTCCCCTGAGCCTCCACAGCTCCAGGCTCAGCACCCCCAGCTCCCTCAGCTGCTCCTCACCACACTTGGGCTCTAGACCCTTCTCCAGGAGTTTTGTTGCCCTTCTCTGGCCACACACCTGAGCTCACAGTGTTCCTCACAGAGAATCTTGTGCCATCCTGACAAGTGATTCCTTCGAAGATCTTTTCACACCATCTCCAGCAGTTGCATTAGTGCCACACAGCAGTTATCAGCTGGCCGAAGGAAAAAACATGAGATTAAGCTCCCTGTGAAAGACTTCCAAGGGCTTTTTTGTTTTAAGATTAGTCATCCACGAAGACATTTCACAGAAACCTGCTATGCTGGGCAGGCCCAGAGGCTCTTGACAACAGTCAGGCACTGGTCCATGACGCTGTCAGAGGCATGAGCTCACAGTTAAGCAGATACAGCCCCGAAGGTGCCTGCAAGGATGACAGGGTCATCTGAACCAGGACATCAGGAGTGCTCAGTGTGAGCAGCCCTGTGAGACAGCAGTGAGACATTTGGCAAAAAAAAAAAACCAAAAAATAAGGCACAATAGCCCTGACAGGCCCAGCCTTGTGCTCTGCTTGGGGCTTCTCCAGGGAATCCATCCATCCACCCATCCATCCATCCATCCATCCATCCGCCTCACCCATTTTTAGAAGAAAGAGTTCATTTTAAGCACATTTTAAAACACCTGCTTTAAGGCTCGGGGGCTGCAGCTTTGGGCTGCTCAGAGCTCCCAGTGTGGGGGTTTTCTGCTGTGGGGCTGTTTGGTGGCACAGGGTGGGAGGAGAAATGCCCATCGCAATGCGCCGAGTCGAGGCAACACCTGGCACCTTGTGTTGTTAGCAAGGGGTTGGACAAAATGATTTCCAGAGGTCCCTTCCAGTCCACACCATGCTGAGATTCTGTGATCTCCAGCTTACCCCCAGCAGGAAAACCAGGAGCCCTTTCGCTCCTGCAAGTGGATTTCACTCTGTTGAGGACTCTTCCCTCAAGCATCCTTCTAGCCACTTTGGTGTTCTTGGAAGATCTTCTAAGTCATGGAATCAGAGAATGGTTTGGGTTGGAAGGGACCTTAAAGATCACCCAATTCCAACCCTCCTGCCATGGGCAGGGACACCTCCCACTAAAGCACATTGCTCTAATCCCCATCCAACCTGGTCTTGAACGCATCCAGTGATGGAGCATCCACGGCTTCCCTGGACAACCTGGGCCAGTGTCTCACCACTCTCAGAGTGAAGAACTTCCTAATTTCTAATCTAAATCTTCTCCCTTCCCATTTGAACCTGTCACCCCTCATCCCATCACTACAAGCCCTTGTAGAAAGTCCCTCCCCAGCTTTCTTGTGGGTCCCTTTCAGATACTGTAAGGCCACCAGAAGGTATCCCTGGAGCCTTCTCTTCTCCAGGCTGAACAAGCCCACCTCTCTCAGCCTGGCCTCTCAGCAGAGGGGTTCCAGCCCTCACAGCATCTCTACTGCCCTCCTCTAGACGCGATCCAACAGGTCCGTGTCCTTCTTGCATTGGGGGCTCCATTCGACACAGGGCCATCCCCACTACCATGGATGGGAATGTTCCCTTTTGATAGGCAAAAACATCTCAGGGATGACAAAAGGCACCTATGGTGATAGTTTTTCTGAAAAAAAAAGCAGAATTTGCTGGTCACTCTGATTGCGGCAGGCAGTGTCCTATGCCAAGCTTTGCCAGAGCCCTTATCAGCAGGGCTGGCAGCTGTACCCAGCCTCTGCTGCTCTGGACCCAGGCCAGCCTCTTCCCTTGCCTTCAGAACATGCAATTTCTCGTGTCTTCAGACAGTTTGTCTTGAGGGTGTCTTTATTCACACTTTATTTGCTATGGTCTTCCTTTCCCAGTGACACACTACTCGTCCAGGTTCATCTCACCCTGCTCCACCATCCTCAGCACAGCAGAGACAGGGACCTGCTGGAGCGG